GTGCTTCTGTGTAATAAACCTAAGATTAGGAGGAAGGGGGAACAACATATGCCTTGATATTCCCAGATAGAAGATGACTGTGGAATTGTTCAATTAACTGTGTAGGAAAGGGACCCATTCAACCAGAAGCAAGAACAGCAATTGCTTTTTGAAAATTGAAACATCGGGCATACCAACATTTTAGCCCTGGTGCCGGGTCACTCATACTTGAAATGAATGCTAGACCACACCTGCCTCGTCCCCAGTCACCTGAAAGAACTAGTGAGGAGGTGTGCAGGGAATCATGGAGAGGAAAGAAAACACAGAGCGTCTGTCAAATCCTGCATTGAAGATGGCAGCGATTTTGATGGCAGATTTTCCAGTATTTCAAAGCCTGGTCCAAGAGGCTTGTAAAAGGGAAAAACAATTGTGCCTGGAGGCTAGTTGCCTAACGATGCTATTGGCGCCATTCTAAAAAGAACTGCCTCCTTATGCTGGTAAGAGGTGCTGGAAAAACAATCTGTTTTGCAATCCCAGCACTGGTAACTGGTGGAGTTACTGTTGTTATTTCTCCAATGTTTTCCTTGATGCTTGATCAAGTGAACCACCTGTGAGCAAGAGGTCTTAATGTTTACTATATTAATTAAGAACTACCATCAGCTGAAAGGGATCTTCTCATCCATAATCTTTTGTTGGACTTTCTTCCTGACACATTTTTGTTTGAAACACCATAAAATGCTACCTCCTCAGAAAGGCAAGAAATATTCTAAAAGATGGAATCAAGAAACACACTTAGCCACATTGTAATTGATTAGTGTCACTGTATTGAAATGTGGGGGTTTGACTTCAGACCAGCTTGTGCTGAACTTGGTCATCTGTCAAGATTGAAGTGTCCATTTGTAACCATTACAGGTGCTTGTAATACAAGGACTGAGGAAGTAATCTTGACTTCTCTCATCCAGAAAGAAACTTAAGACAGAAATGGAGAAGCTTACTGTTACGCAAACCTTGGAGCTGTGTATCTTTCAGTTGGCGACTATGAGAATGCTAGAGATGAAAATATCATGATAATATGAAAGTGCCACTTAAATATCAAAATATAAAGATACTGGGTGGTCAGATGAAAAGAACATGATAATATCAAAATATCATGATGATATCAGAATATCACAACATGTTCTGACAATATCAAAGAATCAAAATAGAGTCCTAAAATGTGGTCACATTGCCATGGTGCCAAAAATTCATGCTCTTCACAAACTTTTGTCATACTGTGTGTTTTGTATTCAAGAGATCAAGTGTGTAATTATCGTTTACACAAGCTCAAGGAGACTTTGAATAAGATACATTTACATTCAATTCACTTGAGTTTACAATTGGAAAAAATTGTAAAGAAAGCAATTGAATGGTGCATTGCTTTGCGCCCAAGTGTGACCATCACTTGGAAAGCCATACATGCTGGTACTTTGGATTCCCTAACATGGGAAAAAAAATTGGATGAATACAGAAGATGAAGTGGGCTACTGAGGTTGATCACATTCAGAGTTTCAAATACTTATCCTGGATTATGATAAATACTTGATGAGAAAAGTGTGTTTGATGAAATCTTGGTGATGCGGACTGTCACCATCTTTGTTAC